GAGAGAGAGAGAGGGGAAGAGAGGGAGGGAGAGAGAGAGAGAGAGAGAGAGAGAGAGAGAGAGAGAGAGAGATGATGAGTGAGACCGAAGGCAGAAGAAGCGGGTAGTTTTTTGGCTTCACTATATTATGCATTTGGCTTTCCTATAGAGCGTATGGTTTAGACAGAGAGAGGAAGGGGGGTTACCGAATATTTCTGCTGCTGAACCGGCTTGCTTCGATATCCTATATATAGAGCGTGCGTACTGTAGTAAATACATATTGCTTGCCGCGTGCAGCCCCCACACACACGCACAGACACACGCACACAGACACACGCACAGACACACGCCCAGACACACGCACAGACACACATATGCACGCACGCACATACGCAGAGACATGAAAGTAGCAGCAAATTTGCTAGCTGTCCAAGGAAAAAAGTGGGACGCATCCGTGATCGATGGCTGATCGATCACTGATGTTAGTTTCAGCAGCGTGGTCGTGTTTGCGTGCACTGCAGTGCCTGATTGCTTACCTGTAGTTGTTTGCACTTTGGTGCACGTACCTGTGAGTGCTGTGTGTGCGTGTGCAAGCGCGTGTGTGTATTTAGTTTTTAACACGTAAACGCAATTTTAACGTTACGTAAATTTTTACGTTGTAAATTTAGTGACGTACGTTCTTTCATGTGAATCTGTTGGGAAGTATAGCACGGTGTGCTTACGTCTTCTGTAGTAAATTTTCTTGGCTTATTCTCTGCGTTTATGAGTGTTAATGTGTTGTGCTTTCTGTGCTTAGTGCTGATAGAGTGATATAGTCGTGTAGATACATTAATATTCTGTGTGCATGTACTTATGCCTCACGTCCCTATATTTATTTATACATATGTGTGTGCGTGCACGCGTGCGTGCGTGTGTGCGTGTGCATGCATGTGCATGTGTGTACATCGTTTTATGCTCCTACTTCGTGCTCTGCATGTGCAAATGCTTTCTTTGTGGAAACCCAGCATGTGTGTAGTAACACCCAGCATGTGTGTGTTTGTGTGGAGAGTGACAGTCATTACTGTGATGTGCTACCTGCGTTTCAGGCAACCACCTGCTGATGTTCAGGCAGTTGAAGTACGAGGATGTGCGGGAGTACAGGTACTGGGATGCCAGCAGCAAAGGCCTCGATCTAACCGGCATGCTGGAAGACCTCAAGGCAAGCGAGTAAACCAGACGCGCACAATTCCGCATCTCGGACTTGTGTCTCACAGACTTCTCAGTTCGGAAATCATATTGAGTGTTTTTGTCGTCTTCTCTGAATTTCCCCTGCGACTGAATTTTTTCGGTTTTCCATTCGGAATCGGAAATCGTTTTGCGGAGCATTTGTCCGGGCGGTAGTCGGAGTTTCGCACGACGTCTCGCGGAGTCGGAATTAGCATCGTCGTGGCGACTCGTTCCTCTGCAGACGTCATTATTTTACTTGGCTCCTCGCTCATGTTGGGGCGCGAACACACCGAACAAATTCACGCCGGATCTTTTACGCAGATCTTTTCGCGTAGAGGCCTTCACATAGATCTACAGAGTTCTTTGCCTAGGAATTTCGGAAAGCATGAAGTTTATGGACAAATAGGGTGAAAGGCCTGGGAGGGGGTTAATTGTGCCAATTGGAGTTAACCCTGCCCCCGATCCACGAGTAAGGCCGATCAGTAGGGAGAAACACATCAACCTGTGAAAACACAGTGACTGTGTTGAAACTGTCAAAAGTAAACACAGCTGAAAGTGAAGGTTAGATTGATTAGGCAATTAAAGCACGTAGGGGTATTTATGGGATGTTGCAAATTAACTCCACCTTTGAAGGCATGTTGGACTTGACAAGTGTTAAAACCATATTTTCGAGAATTATCTAGTGTTTTCCCCACTTTTATGACCGTTTAATTACTTACCGTTATTGCTTGAGTAACAGCAACTCTCTAGAGTAACGATAAAATGTATTAGAACCTTCGTATTCACCAAAACATGCAAGTTCGATTACCAGCGAGCCTTTTCTTGTAATCTTGGACCAGTTAGTAGCACTACTAACACCAGCTATCATCCATAGACTTACACATCTCGCGCAAATTGCATAAAATCTTGTATTTTTCAAGTTAGTGTAATCAGTGATATATCCACTGTGAGGTGAGACTGTTTTGCTATGTTTTTTTTGGATTGAGCATTTCTGAGCAAAAGTCTCGTATTAAAAACTCTAAAGGCCTGGAGAGAACCCCGTAGCATACATGCGCAGTAGCTGTAGCAGCACTCTCAACTCTGCTTTTTTCGAGTCCTAAGTCGTTGATGACTGACGTATGCATGATGACGAGTCTAATCGAGGTTGTGACCTTGCACGAGCTTGTCACGTGTCTGCGATGGACGTTAGGGGGCGCTGCTAACGGTCATCGTTGTTTCAGACGGCGCCGGACGGCTCGGTGGTGGTGCTGCACGCGTGCGCGCACAACCCGACGGGCGTCGACCCAACGCACGAGCAGTGGGGACAGATCTGTGACGTGATGAAGGTGAGCTGAAGGTCAAGCGGTGACATTGATGTATGATGATGTTACCTTCCTCCTATAGGAGCTAGTCCTGATGATTGTTTTTTTGTTATTTTGATAGGGTGCCTAATTATATTTGGCTATTTGCCAAATGTAACTTGACAACCCCTTAAATTATTATTTATATATTAATCCAACCCTGTGAACTCCAAATGCGGAATGTTCCCGCGGTGATCGGTAAAAAGCCAGATATCTCTAGGTACTAAAACCGCGAGTCACCCAAGTTGGGTCCTGTATACATATTAGTTAGGTGACCCACATATCAGCGGTTTGTTATGACTATTTTGATCAACATATCGAAACAAATCGTACATTTTTATACCTTATTTTAAGAGCTACTCCTAGTACTATCCTTCATTTAACCCAATATATAAGTATTGCTTAATATCTGTTGATATAACCGAATAAATAGCCAGATATCTCTAGGTACTAGAACCGCGGAGTAGCGTAAATTCATAACCACCGGCAATCGGTTTGTTATGGCTATTTTTATCAGCATAGATCAGAACAAATCAAACATATTTATACCCAATCTTGACAGATATATATAGTACTAGATGAATACTACAGTAAATGCAAGGTTTTGCTGGATTAATTTTTTAAATTATAAATTTGTAAATGAGTTGTAATGCACTTCCTGTCTGGGCGTCAATGGTCAGCTAGTACGCAAAAATTCTACAATTACCAGGTTTTCAAGGTAATATTTTATAATGTTCTTGACATATTTAATAAAATATAGATTTAACAGATATTCACACCACATTCATAGTGAAGCTTAAAGGTATAAAAATATGATACTATTTTCAGAGATGCCAACCACTACGATTTATCCGTATTTTATACGAATTTCTATTCCTTTTGCACCACTACGACCAGTTTGTATCAAACTACGAATTTGACTGTGATCGGAAAATAAATGTTTTTTGTCAATTATTGTCATTTTTTTCAATTTATTGTCATTTTTGACCCTCAGAATGCAGGAAATTGCATCTCAGAATCAAAATTTTTTCCGGGGGGCATGCCGGACCCTCCCTAGCAAACTCGGGTCACTACGTGACCATCGAACTACTAATTTGATGGCCAGAAACTACAGATTGCTTCAAACATGTGTTGGCATCTCTGTATTTTTGTGTGTAAATAGGTGAAAAATCTATCTAAAAGATAGGAGAATATGCGAAAATTCCAGCACAGGGCGATAGATCCGTTGTTAACAAGGCAGCGTTGAACATGTTAATAAACTTGCTGCATCTCCACTGCACCGGCGTATGGCCAGTGCTCAGGAACCAATTAAATTTTTATCGTGCAACTGAAATGCGGAATATAACCTTGCCGCTGCGGAATGCGGAACATTAAGCCTAGAAATCGTACAGATTCCGCAGACCCTGTAATAATAGTATTAGGCCTATATATATTATTTATATATTCCTAAACCCTCTTCAGGAGTTTAGGTCATATTTATCGCAAATTTCATTAAATATTAATGTTGTTCAATTAATCATAAATTAATTGGGCTGACTGGTTTACACCCTCTTGACGACATGGTTTACAAATTGCTCGTGTAATCGTCATTCCTTTCGTTTTGTACCGCGTCGAGAGACGTCCATTCGAAATATTGGCACGTGAGAGGGCGCTGACTATCTGTCGTTTCGCAGGCGAAGAAACACTACCCTCTGCTGGACTGTGCGTACCAGGGTTTCGCGTCTGGTGACCTTGCCATGGACGCGTGGGCCGTGCGCTTCTTTGCCAGCCAGGGACTTGAGATATTTGCCGCGCAATCCTTCGCGAAGAACTTTGGGCTCTACAGTGAGTGATGCTCGTGCACGCAGGACGTAGTACACGTATTGATTCGGTTTAAATTAAATCGCGAGCATTTCTAAATGTTGAAAAGTTTTTGCGTATTCTTGACGGTACTGTAATGGGAGAATTTGCCCCCGGGGAGAAATTTCTAGGAAATTATCGGCCGCCCCGTCGCGGCAGTGCAATGGTAAGCGATAACTGCAGTTGTTGCATCTCCCCCGCAATTCGAATTATTTTCAAGTGGAAAGATTTTAATGATGATGCCAATTGTTATTCGTGTGTGTCTTAGTTTGTTTTTATTCATTTTCTGTCACTCATTATCAACTGAAAATTATGATCAATGGTGCACGACTAGTATTAGTGGGTATAGTTATGTTGTTACCATGAAGCAGCAGCACTAGCAGCAGCAGTAGCAATAGTAGCATCATCATTATCATCATCATCATCATCAGCAGCAGCAGCAGTCATAGTCGTAGTTTCATCATCATCATCATCAGCAGCAGCAGCAGCAGCAGCAGCAGCAGCAGCAGCAGCAGCAGCAGCAGCAGCCGCAGCAGTACTTAGCAGAGTAGCACAGGTAGTGCTATGGAAATGTAACTGCAAGCAGCCATCCTAACTCTGCCTCTCTCACGCAGACGAGAGAGTGGGCAACCTGACGATCGTCACGGCAACACCAGACGCACTGGAGCGTGTTAAGTCTCAGATTAAGATGATAATCCGAGGCATGTACTCGAACCCACCGGCTCACGGAGCGCGCATTGTCAACACGACCCTTCGCGACCCCGCACTGTTTGCCGAGTGGTGAGTCAGCCAGCTCCCTCTGGTGTTTGAAGGTCGATAACAACCCTCCATGAGCTCCGAAGTGATGACGTCACAGTGGCATGACAACGAACCCACTGGTTCTAAACAATCATATGCTCTGGTAACATTAACTGCGTGAAAATGGTGTCGTGTTTTGTACCCGATTGTAACCATTATTCTGAGAGTCATTATTGCAGTTTTTATAGATTTCCAAAAGATGGAAGTGAAAAGCAACGAAAAAATAAATAAATAAAAAATAAAATAAAAAATTTAATTAAATAATTAATTAATTAAATATTGTAAGATCGACTTGCTACCGATGCTTTACCGCTGTCTGCAGCGCACACACTCGTGTTTTATGTACGCACAACATTCACGCAGTTAATGTTATGGAGCCAGTGGGTAATTGTTTAGAACCAGTGGGTTCGTTGTCATGCCACCGTGACGTCACACTTCGGTACTCTATAGGCGGCAGGCCTGAATAAATATCGAACAGAAATTAATTAAAAATACTCACACTGTTACTGCGCTTACCAAACATACACTATATTCATGTTAAATAACTACAGATTCATACTCTATGCTCCGCTCGAAACTTTTGCCAGCTCTATGATGCGAATTTCTACAAAGTAGTCGGATCCTGTTTCATACACAAAAATGGCTGACCGGCGACCATGGCTACGCCACTTGCTGGAATGGCACAATTACACAACAAGACCAATTTTACTTCTAATGCTTTCTAGACGTCCACGAGGCATCTAACTTGCGTGCATAATGAAAATTATTGCACTCTAGTGCCAAATTTCTGCGAAAAAATATGCTAAAAAAGGCATTTTCTAGAGTCGATATAGTGCAACGGTGAACAATTTGCGGACGCTTACTGTTGTACACCTCCTCTACGATATCACTGTTTACTGAATGGTGAGTTAGCGCCCCCTAGTGTTGGAGGTTTGATCATTGGGACTAAACGTGTTTAAACACATCGATGACGTTCGTAGGATTTGCTGATCTAAAACGTTTAATAAATCTGGTTAAATGCTGACGAATAAGTGTCTGTATGCACCGGAATTTTTTTCCCGCTCGACGAATCATGCAAAAACCAATCTTTATTACTTTTTTAGTTAAACATTACAACAATATTACCAATATAACAACTTTATTAAATGTCAACGATTGTTATTCGCCGTGCCGTTTGTTATGCATGCCGTGTTGTTGTGTCGTAGGCAAGGCTGCATCAAGACGATGGCTGACAGGGTGCTGATGATGCGCGCGGGGCTGCGTAAACGCCTCGAGAACCTAGGAACGCCCGGCACGTGGAACCACATCACCGACCAGATCGGCATGTTCTCCTACACCGGCCTCAATCGTGAGTGTCTCCTCCACCCCCCCTGCTCACGCATAAGCAGGCGATCGGGTGGAGGACAGGCAGGGGTGGGGGGTGAAGTAGTCGGAGGAGTCGTTCGCGTCGCATTGTGTTACGTTGTCCGAGCTTTCCGTCTTTGATTTCTATTGAGAATTCTTTCGCGATTGTTAGCATTTCATCCTCTTACATCGTTTATTTTCGTTTGTTAGGGTTTCGTGTTCAGTGGCCCCGTTGTCAGAAACGAATTTAGTCTCAGCATTAGTCTTAATTTTAACTTTATCTCATAGACCGTTGATAGAAATGTGGTAAAGCTTCTCATACGGAGTGTGTAGAGGTTTGGTCCTACGAGAAAAAGTTCATGTTAAGACTAATGTTAAAAAACTAATTTTGTTTCTGACAACGTCAGTTTCGGTCACTGGATGTCAGGGTAATGTTCAGGACATCATCTTTGTTTGTTGGAGCAGTTTCTCAACGTTCAAAAGTGTTTTTCACTTCGTTTTTTGATGAATTTTCAGACCCGTCTGTGTTCTTAAGGGTGTTCTTCCATCTGTTTTAGTGCCATTATCTTAAGAGAGCCTTTCCTGTTAGTGCTTTTTATCTCAGGAAACCTTTCCTTCTTTGTTAGTGCCGTTATCCCGGGGAAACATTTGCTTCCCTTGTGAGAGCTTCACATTATGATTCCTGCACCTTGTCTCGTTACAGCGACGCAGGTGGCCTACCTCGTTAAGGAGTACCATGTCTACGTGATGAAGAGCGGTCGCATCAACATGTGCGGCCTCACGACGGGAAACATCGACTACGTCGCCAAGGGCATATACGACGCCATCATCAAGAATCCCAACTAGAGGGCGCCGGTGTCTGCCGGACTCGGTGGCTGCCGCGCGCGAGTCACGGATCCAATAACCTCACGCTATTTTTCTTGGGGGCAGGGGGGGATGTCATTAGAGGTGCCAATTGCAAGCGGGTGTGTGTGTGTGTGTGTGTGATGGGGTACTAGCCATGCGCATACTCGCGCATGTAGTTCATGCTAGGTCTTAGCCTCTAGTCAGCGTTAGTAATGCCGAGCATGTAAATGTTGTGGAGAGGGAGAATGGTGCGAGCCGTGCTCGTGCGCATAGACAGAACCGGTGCTGCCGTCGTCGTCGCCGCCCACTAGAGGGCGTGCTTGACAGGTGCGTTTGTTACCAGGGACTCGGGTCTCCTAATGGTTATTCTGTTGAGGTTTTTATACTTAGCTGTTGAGTTTGCGGATTTACGACTCGCGCTGACGGCGTCTTTTTAACCTATTTTCTGACACTGTTCGCTTCCGTGGCATTTTCGATCGCTGCACACTCCCAGTGCACTCTAGCCTTGCATGTGCACGCACGCGGAAAATGCGGTTGTTACGTTATTATATCTGGTACGTTCCACTTTTGAAATGGTTTCGTACGCGTTTAACGAATTTTCGGGTGGTCGTGCTTGAGAGTGCAGCTTCTGTCTGACTGCAGCGATCGTCATCGCTCGATGTAGGCGGAGTAATGCGACATCTTTCGATATTCATCAATCTTGGGTCACAAATTTTGTTACGACGAACATTGTCGCAATAAATGTTTGTTGGAAAGGATTTTGCTCGTTCTGTGCTTCCATTTGCATTGCTCGTCTTGAATACTGTTTTGTAATTTTTCTTCACTGCACAGCAAACTTAATTGAACGGGGAGAGAATATATACATCTAAATTAGTCGGTTTGTAATTTAAAATTTGTAGCACATAACTGCAAGAAGAAATGGGAAACTTGAACACAGATCACGCAAAGGGAATTTCGACGACAGCAATTTCATTTTAAAATTTTATATTAATATAAAAAATCTCTGTCACCCTATTCACTAGGTGATGCACAATTGTAATAGCCATATTGAGAAAACTTCTTGAAGGTTCAGTAAGAAAATTGAAAAACACGATAGCTATCCGCATCATGTGTCTAGTACAAGAAGTCGCACCAACTTCGAGGCATTGACACAGTTTTGCACAAACTTGAAATGAGCGAATGTCGAAACTGTGGATTTGTCCAGACCTAACGTGGTTTACAGAACGTAGACGACTGGGTTTCTCTATCAGACAATCACCACCGTCGCCATTGGCACCCTTCAGTCATGTTGCTGCTGTTGGCACTAACAACTTAAAAAGCGGTGATTCGAGGTATACGATCAATGCAACGACACCGTTTACGTGATTCAGATCCGACGGCAGTGGAACAAGTCTTTAAAATAAATGGCGCTGTGTCTTTCACATGCACGTCTGCCGACGCATGGACTCCTGCAGCCAACACTGCAACTACAACAGTGCGTGAAGACGATGACAATGACGGATTCGTTCTCAATAGCTTTCGCGACGGGAAATTATCGATTCCTCACCGGGATCAGCTTCTTGTTTGCGTTCAGGGATCACGCACGTAGCACTACACAAGTGGAAGGTATACGTAGTCTGTGCGAGTGACAACATACAACACAACATAACTGGTCGAATCATTGGTAAGAAAGATCGTATATTTTACGAAGAACAGAGCAATTACACCGAGGTGACCGGTACCCTGAACTATCATGCAAGCTTATGAGTAAATCACATCTCTGTCTGTAGCAGAGTTCACACCTCACCGTGCCACATACCCACACTTGTTCCCGACAAGCGCACATTTGCTTCTACATTTAAATCATACTAGCAGTAGACGTGTATTAGTGTGTGTGTAGTGTGTGTAGTTCCCGAGTTCATTATTTGTAGTCAGTAACAGACTCTTATGTGTTAGACAAATTTTATTGCACACTGCACGTTGTCGTGCTGACTAATGAGTGCGCGTACTTCATTTCCTACTATAATAGTTCCTACGTGTGCAATTGTAATAGGTGTATATTAAACTTTTCAAAACGCAACACGGTTCCTAATCCGACGCTCGCAGCGATCGGACGACGACATTCATTACACTCATCTCATCACTTCAAGTTCGTTATCACAAGATTTTCTTTTTAGAGCACGAGCTCTGACATCACTTTGCGCTTGGCCTTGGTCGCAGCGTCCTTCACGCTGTCCTTGGCTGCCTCGCCGGCTGCCCGCAGTTCACCTTTGCTCGGAAGACGCGACGCACGGCTCTCGCTTTCTTCCTCACGGGGATTTGTCGCTCTGTCGATCACGTACTGTAAGCCCTGGTAAGAGAGACAGAATCACGTGTTCATGAAAAAGCACCGCTGTGCGATGAGCACACGTTTTCTAACGCATGCATGCGAAGTTTAGAATTGTGATCGTAAATCGTTTACTTTGACACAATCGCAGAATAAAAATAACGTGATGCACTTTAACAATAAACTTCTACGACGACAAAAATAGGTTTTCACTAGACTACAGATCTATGGAGTATTGATGTAAGAAAATCCTCCATATTTGTCCGTGAGTGATTTGCTAAAACACGATGGACCCACTCCGTTTGATCCTACACATACACTAGCACTTCTTGGGCGTTATAGTTTTAGCAAAGCACCCAGTTTCTAGTGATTTTGCAAAACATCTATGGCTTTAATCGAAGCATTCCCAAGTTGCTACATGCCATCACCAAAATCCGATTGCGTCCAACCCGAAATTGCCCTATCCATGTACATGTGGCATGTTTGATGGAAAACTAGCCAATCATTGCTGTGATGGGATATTCTAAAATACAATGCTTATGCTAGCCGCACACTATACGACCCGAGCGGGATCGGGAGGCCTTGCGTCTGGCTACCGACTGGTTTGAGACGATCGGGAGGTCATTTTGGGCCGATTCGAATTTTGAATCGGGAGCGGAGCGGGTCGTATAGTGTGCGAGGGTATACGACGCGACTCTGATAGTGTGCGTGGCCATCCGACCTGCCGCCGAGCGCTGAAGAAAATTGACCAATCACAGAGCAGCGCCATGGGAACCGCATTCGGTCAAAATGGCGGGGAAACACTCCCGACCCTTAGTACACGCTAAATCCGCTTGGACCGCCACGAGAGCACCATGGTTAGCGCCGACTTTGAGTCGTACAGTGTGCGGGGGCCTCCCGATCGATCGGCTGCCGAGCGTATGGTGTGTGAGGGCTTACGACTGCGGCCCGAGCCGCATAGTATGGCCACAAATCGTATAGTGTGCGGCTAGCATTAGCAACGCAGTAGCGTGAAGTTGACAATTTGGCATGCACACAAGAAAGACGTCTACACACTGGTCTAGCTTGACCAATGTAGCAACAATATCCAACAAGGAGTGGCAATCTCGCAGAGACAGATATATGTCCACTAGCAACGTCTTACAGTAAAAAACGGTCACTCGGTGCGGTGTATGTTGTTCACTCACCTTCATTGTCTTCGCTATGTTGTTCTTGAACCGCTCGTGGCCGAACATCTTGAGCGCGCGCGAGAAGCCGAACAAGTGAGAGTCGATCCACGCCTGTCGCTCGATAACCGTTCCCTCACCGTCCGTGCTCGGCTTGTAGACACATCGCTCCTCTACGCTCTACACCAGGCAACATCAATATATACATTATAATATATCTATCTCTATATATATATATATATATATATATATATATAATATATGTATACCTATCTATATGTGTGTGTGCATGCGTGCGTGCGTGCGTGCGTGACAAAATTGAATTGTCTAATTGCCGACATGCCTTCTGTAACTTGTCAAACAGGTAATGGCCGGGTATGGCTGATAAGTTTTAAAATTTTAACGATTAGACAAATGCTTGTAAAAAAAGGTACCTCAGCTTCTACAATCGTGAACCAATCAAACAATACTTGTGCGATCTCAGAATAAAATAGCAGCCAGCTTAACATTTTCAGGCTTTATTCAAACGGTAATTCTCTTCATCATAGATCACACAGTATCATTTTTCCTCACAACACACACGACACAGAACTATTTGCTATGAATCGTCGCCGATGTTATCCCGCGTACCATGATGCGCTGGTAGCCGAGGTTGCGCGTGTAGGTGGTCACCGTCCGTGCGACGGGGTCGACGACCGATTCCTCGACCACGGTCACAAAGCGTGCAGTCACGAAGCGCTCGCCCCACTTGGGCAGGTGGTTGGTCTTCGTGATGACACGCTTCGTGTAGAGCTTGCTGTCACGCACCTCCCGCGACAACGTGTCTTCCGTGAGCACGTGCTTGCTGCGAGAGAAACAGGAGCAATAGTCTCGTGGGCAGAGACGTAGGAACCGATGCTTCATGTTACTTTATATTTTATTGATGAAACAGTCGAAATGCGCTCATTGATTCCATTATTAATTTTATTCTTCTCTATTTCTTCTTTAGTTTTTATTCTTCTTATATATATATATATAAATACTCAATTCAAATATTTTTACACATACATATACTTCACGGCAGTATTAATTTTATTCTTGCTCTCGCTCTCACTCATGCACACACATGAAACTATTACATGCTTGTTATTAACAATCACAAGTTTAAACTTGGGCATAAATACAACCTCACTTTTACTTTAGTTACTTTTACTTGTTTTAAATGTACTGATACTAACAGTAACACTATATATATTATATATATATTTATTTATTTTGGCTTTACAATAACAGCAGACCCCAGGTATGAAAATAGTCTACTGTATCCGTTCTTAATACATTTGACTAAGAAGGTCTTGCAGTGTTTACTTTCTTTTATTATCTCAAAGCTTTTATTTATAACAAATAATTCTTGCCAACCATGTCCAAATTAAAAGGTGTGTACCAAAAAGATGTAATACTATCAGGAGAACATGAATGACAGGATAAGGTCTCGTTTATTTACTCCTGATAATATCGATCATCTGGGTTTTCTGAACAATGGAGTAAACGCGCCTGCATAGATTGACACGTTTGACAGCATTAGTTTGCACGATAGGCTAGGTATAAACAACTACGAACCTTGCTGGGAGCTTCGCCCATGAAATATTTTTGATCTCCAAGGTATACAGATATTGCCTTCAGGTCGGCATTGCCAATTTCATATATTTCTGCACTGGGGCACCTTCCATATCCCTGTGCCAGAAGTCGCTGCTTGACCTATGAGATAAACAGTGTAGATTAATTCAAGAATTTGAACTATGATTCATCCTGGCCTGTATTGTCTGAAATCTCTTGGTAAACTATAATGTATAAATAACTATGTGTAGATACTCTACTATGCAGCATACTAGCAGAGCCAGCATATGCTAGATGTAAGGGTATAAACTAATACACTGATGACAGCATGCTTACATTGTTCTTTGGCATCTTTATAGATATATTAAAGTATATTTATATGTCTATATGCACTACAACGACGTTAGTGACAAGTCTACACCTCCCCTTTCCAAACATCTGACAACAGACACTTGAAAGTACAGCCGTGCCTATATTGTGCACTGAATATGTAAAATAGAGGCCTAATGTTCTCACTTATGGAGATGGAGTTGGATATGAAATTCATTATGACAAAGAAGCAGACATAAGTTACAGAACTTTGATGCTGTCACACTGCCTCAGCAGACAGAGAGCATACATGTACATTGATCAACCAAGGCTACATAAAAGGTAACAAGCATGTTTATTTAAATAATTACCATCTTCCGCATGAAATGCACAAAAAACCTTGAAGTGATGTTTAAGAAAGTCTTCAACCATCCATCAGGAACTCCATCTAGCAAAATACCCCATAAAGTAGTGGGGTTCTCCACATAGCGGTGAAAGGCGCATGTCCTAAAATTACACAAATCGTGAGATTATTACTCTTTCGTGCATGTATCCTTCGCTAGACATGCTAGACTTCGCTAGACATCAGTATCTTTCATGTATCCTTCGCACGAGCATCCTGTAAACAAGACTATTGAACTAAAGGAATACTTGACCCCTAGGTTCCTTGGATATTTTCAGTCAAAATAGGTTTAAATTATGCCAATGCTTAAATATAGCATTTAAACACATTAGTTTTAAAACTGTTCTGTATAATATATATATACATGAGATTCCCATGCAGTCAACCAAACTGGACCCTAACAATAAACTTATAATTTGTGCGACAAGTTGTGCTTGTAGCCATTTACATTGCGCGGTAATAGATTGCATCACATGTAATTTCAAACACAGAAGGCCCGATAAATTGGCGGAGTTTATCAATAATTTTATTATCTTGTGGCTTACCTAGTGTGGAATTCATGCAACACGCGACGCAGTCAGATGATTGCAGTTTAAACAATCATCCGCCACATATATCTTGTGACTGGATAACATAGAACATTTACACATGTATATAAAAATCTTCACAAAATGAATACAACCAAAAACGTTCAAACCGCAAACTTACCTATATGGATTTGGATATCTTGTCCAAAGAATGGCAGCAACCTGGTTCCAATCACACGATAACTGTGACAGTCCACTGTAAAACTTCGCCATGGTGCCCTCTCAATATTGAAGCAGGTTCATATATATACAATTTGCCACCTAGTATGGAAAGGCAAAAGTAACTCAAACACTACTTACTTGAAAACTGACTAGTAAAGTTTCTTGCCCTGACCTTTTTGCCCTAGCTGTGACACTGATCTTTTTGCCCTAGCTGTGGCACTGATCTTTTTGCCCTAGCTGTGACACTAATCTTTTTTTTAATTAAGCATCAGGCACCTGATGTCTCAAGTTACCCAGAGTAGTTTATGACATGCCTTAGGAATTTTGCTTGGAATATACGTAAACATGGCAATTGTCAGATGTGATGTAAAGAATGTCTCATTTTCCTCGATTGTGAGGTATCATCTTCACTAACACTAACAGCATACTCAGCAATACAGCAGGTTAGATTAGAGTTAAGATTACTGAATGGGTTAATAACGATGATGTATATATAGTGAGTGAGGTACTACTACTATTAAAAGTAGGACTGGTCCGGTTTCATTAAGACTAAAATGTACCGGCCCAAACCTAGTTTAGCACCCCAAATTAGTTTAACAGATATATATGCGAAAACACGTTTGCGAGGTCCCAAACTATCTTTGACCCAATGTACCGGTCTGCTTACCTGTACACAGTATTGTGTTTACAGACTGAGCACTGTCAATTACGTACTAGTACTACTAGTAGTAGTACAACATACGGCCCAAGGATATGAGAGCAGGGTTCTCCAAGCTTTTTTATTATAGCATGGCGGGGCTGCCTTTACGGTCCTAGTTTTAGCATTTTTTAGCTAATTTTAGCATGGCGGCTATGATATTTAGAGTGGCGGGTGCATTTTAGGATGACGGGGCTCTACGATAGCCTGGCGGGCCGCCAGGCTATGTGCTCTTGGAGAACCCTGAAGAGCTGTCCACATTTGCACATGTCGCACATTGGCATTGCGAAAATTAATTGTGGTCAGCGCTTATATCCATGAAGTTGATGAACTTACTCATAGTCATAGTAATTAAGATTAATAGAAGAATATATCCAGGATCATTCTTGCGTGATTATCTACATCTACACGTGTAGGTCTCCATACGTTCGTACGGGGCCTCTACATCTACATCTGCGTTACGTCGATCTGTCACTCTTGACTCAACGTTATTATGCGCTACCTCTCAGCCTAACTATCAGTAAACATGTGCGTGATCTACTAACACTTGAGAGATGCCCAGGACCACAGGCACTTGGAACGTCTCAATAAAACAAGATAATTAATGGTAAATAAACACGAAATGTACCAAAGTCTTAATGTTTCTCTACTCTATTTCGCCTATAATCACCTGTAAATGCCGGTAAAATGCTCATCTGCAACACACAAGTACACCGCACGCCCGCCCGCACTGTGCTGCGTGCACAAACAACATGAATAAGAGAGCAGGTAGGAAAGCGTGATCGTGAAATTCGCTCAACGCTCGCTTCATTTCACACCATCACAGCTCGAATACACATCCTACAGCTTCCATCTTGGTATCTATGTGTACATAAATGTTCACTTGTTCGAATTATAACTCTGGCCTTTTTTCTTACCTACTCCCGCAAGAGATATCTCGTGAAATCCTGCAAGAAATGTTCTCGCCGTGAAAATGTAAAGAAGACGTTATCATCCGAAAATCCCTAACGGCGCTACTTTCGATCGATCGCTGTAGTCGTGTGTGCGTGACGTCATGCCCGCGCGCATTGTGCTTGGCTTGGCGGGCCTCGAAATAGAGCTCGGAGGCCGGCAGCAGCTGATCCCGGCATGCAATGCGCCCCATTACTCGCACAGGCACTTGAAGCGTTTCATCTGTAAACACACGCCGCCGCCATTGAGCGCACACTGACACATAAATAAATGACACATAAATAAATGACACACTATATATTTATGTGTCAGTGTGCGCGCAATGGCGGCGGCGTGTGTTTACAGATGAAACGCTTCAAGTGCCTGTGATTACTCGTGTATAAACGGACATCTCGTCCTCTTTACATTTTCACGGAGAGAACATTTCCTGCAGGATTTCACGAGATATCTCTGGCAGAAGTAGGTGAGAACAAAGGCCAGAGTTATAATTCGAACAAGTGAACATTTATGTTCACATAGATACCAAGATGGAAGCTGTAGGATGTGTATTCGAGCTGTGATGGTGTGAAATGAAGCGAGCGTTAAGCAAATCTTTCAATCCCGCTTTCCTACCTGCTCTCTTATTCATGTTGTTTGTGCACACAGCACAGCGCGGGCGGGCGTTTGGTGTACTTGTGTGTTGCAGATGAGCATTTGACCGGCATTTACAGGCGAAATAGAGTAGAGAAACATTAAGACTTTGGTACATTTCGTGTTTATTTACCTTTTTTTTATTGAGACGTTCAAAGTGCCTGTGGCGCGGGCGGGCGTGCGGTGTACTTGTGTGTTGCAGATGAGCATTTGACCGGCATTTACAGGTGATTATGGCCGAAATAGAGTAGAGAAACATTAAGACTTTGGTACATTTCGTGTTTAATTACCATTATTTTGTTTTATTGAGACGTTCCAAGTGCCTGTGCTCAGGACCCTATATTGTAAACAACATTCGACACTGTTGTGTTGACAACACTCAACCACAGGGACCCGAGGCGAAAAAAAAAGAAAAGTGTTATATATATAAATAGGGGTCTCCCCTATTTATATATACTCCCCTAGTTAATACTCCCCTAGTTTTAGTAATACTCCCCTATTTATATATATAACACTTTTTTTTTTTTTTGCCTCAGGTCCCTGTGCACTCAACAGCAAGAAATTGAAAACGTGATAAATTGTCAATTTGCATCATCAATGACATCATGATTATTCTGAATTAACGAATGATGGCTGTCATCCAATTGGTCACAGATTACAATGGGCTTACGAGACAATACAGCATATTCAAATATCATCAAAAAATCTATCGATATAATATGTAAACACTCACATGTCTGACTTCTCACAGCGAAATTTCACCTTCCAAACTGCACCATATTTGTTTTCGGAAGGACGTCATAGCGACAGTGGCGCCTACAAAACAAATAATAATGTAATATTCTAACAAACTATAATCCACTAATAATGATAATATAATATTATAATACTAATAATTTTAAGTATGATATGGCAATCACATTATTCAAGGAGAGTTTGTACTCTATGCATTCATGCTCGCTAGCTTGTTGTACTGCAATTATGTTTTCTGAGCAAAATGTTTATAGTCAATTAATAATAATCTCTACAATAAAAATCATTTCTAACTATCTAATCCTTGGTTAGTTTCAATCTTCTCACCAAACATGCACATACATTTATTTGATACTCTTTGTTGTGCGTAAGTTAAATTTTTTGGCAGGACAAATAAGATTTGATATCGAATTTTGAATGTGGTTTTTGTATAAAATTATTTCTACTGTCAATAGACAAGGAACTATGAAAGGACTAAACATGCAGAGATAAATGGAAAGGACAATGGAAATACAATGTAGGAGACAACAGTACATT